GTAGTTACAGGTATATCCTATTCAATCACTGCAAACCCAACGTAAAGTATGCCAATATTACCTAGTTTCAGCCTTTCCCTTGCAATTTCCCACTTGCTGGCGTCATAAGGCAGTCGTTCACATTGCTCATCTAAGGGGACTTCGTCAGGATCCATTATGATTGACAAATAATGGTTAGTCTTCATTTCGGAGGAATAAGGCTAGAAAATAAAGAATATTGCAAAGTGAAAAAGAGGATAAAGGTATCTGTCAGCATCTTGTTTGGATGAAGGGCTCCAAGTTAACTCCGTCCACGGGGCTGTGTGTTTTACAGTCCAATAGATGGTTTATTTAAGCTCCCTTTGGCTTTTTTATATATTGCAAGTATTTTTGTGTAAAAGAAACTCCTTCCCCTAGCTTTCCTCCTATGTGATATATTGGTTTCTTCAATGAAATCCATGTGGATCTGTGTGAACATACAGTGTTATGATACAGGCCCTCTGCACAGTCAAGAGAAATATTTTCGGCAAATGACTAAACATTGCTGATAAACATAACTTTCCTTCATGATTGTGCAAAGCAAGAAGTGGCCATGTGCAACAGATGGAGTTCAACTGCCAGTGTTTATTTTTTCCATATACCCGGCAATGATGGGTCATATGTGGTTAGAAGTTGTGCAAGACCAGTCGTCAGGAGACTAGACATTATACATTTCAGAAACTGTTTAGAAATTTTTAGAGTTTTTTATTTCTTTGGTATCATTTCTGACAAATTTACTGAAATTATTTGAGTTTGGAGGAGTTCATAAACACCCACATACTGACACAAAAGTTCAAACACATAATTTCAAATTAATTTGTCAGAAGTTCAGTGTCCACTAAGCAAATGGATTAGCCACTTCACATGAGAAATGTAAGGAAAGATGAACCTAATCTCAAAGTTTTCTCCAGTCCATCCATTTTGAAACATATTTTCCTTCAAAGAACACCTAGATTGCCATTCTAATCCACTGGACTTTTCTTGGCACAGGAGTACTTAGATTTCTGTAGAAAAGATCTAGTGTTTGCCCTGATTTTTTGGCTATGAGTTGGAATTTATGGAAAACCTCTTGAGCTAAGCCCCTTTGTGTTGCTTTTCCTAAACTCGTGGAAACAGCACATGGGCACAGACACAAACACACAGATATATCTACGTATCCTTTTTTTGCTACTTTAGCTGCCTCTTGTGACTTTCAACTTTCCTCCTCTACGGCTTGGAAATACGTCCCTAACACATGTGTTTCCAGGCATTTAAGAAGGGTATTACTAGCGGTGTATGCTTTGGTTACAAACACAACTAGACTACAACGACAGTAGCTAACAGCTCCTCTTTTGGCTGCCTTTCACCATCCCAAATAACCAGAAAGTTCGTCCCAAGAAGGATTGCACTCATGCTCGGGGAGAAAAATCAGGTGGCATAAAGCCTGACTCCAAACCATCCACTGACCCTGGACAGGACGTGGATAACTGGGATACGGATAGAAACAGAAGCGCATGTGGTGCTCCAGAAAGAGCATTTCTTGGCAGAGAGGTGTGTACCAGCCTGCTCCTACCAGTCACTTTAGAAGAGCTTTTAAGTGGATCCATCCCAGAAAAAGCAACAGGGGAGTGGGAAGGTGCAGAGAGCTTCCTACGGTTCTGTATTCAGATGCACTGAATACCAAATCTTTGGCACAATTAGAGCTACGAAACAACATTTTGAATGATGAAGAATTGTTAAGTATATAATTTGTCCCTGTATGCGTAACAGACAGGCTTTAGGAAAATGCTCTCAGAGAGCATATAGGTATTTTTTTCTGTTGTGGCAAGGTAATTTCTGTATGAACTTTAATTTAGAGCTAATTCCAGACATAAATCCTTGAGAGCAAGGGTTTGTAATAGAAACACAGAGAAGACCATAAACACAGACCAACACTAGGTGGAAAGGCTCATCTGGAAAGGAGACTTCACATATCATCTAGTTAAAGACTCTTGTTCTACAGCAACGATGATTATTTTTATTACCTTTAACAATCTAACAAGTGAATGTCCAGTTTTGGTATCATAACAAATAAAAAACCAATCTGCAACCCTTTACTAAATTTAAAACTTACATTTTCCCAAGGGTTTGCAGTCGTGTTATTGCTTCATCACTACTGGTGGGCAGTCAGAATTGGACCCACTTGCTTTGTAATTTCTCTTACAGCTGCAATGTTTGCCCACAGCTTCAGCTGACCTCTCCTTTTCTTTCCCCCCAAACTCCCAGGCATTTCTCCTTACCAAATGGCAGAGTGACTGCTGCCATACCGACCTGCTTTGGAGGTCTGGTCCTGCTTTCCCACCGGTCAATAGAAGTTCTCAGTGGAAAACCTAAGAGATGAGGACATGCAGCCATTCCTCATCTCATGTCCTGCAGTGCAGCCCATCGCCCCGATACCTCCCTTCCCTCAAATCCATCTTCTCCTGCAAGTTGCTTTGAGATCTTTCTGCACTACTGAGGCATGGTATTTTCTGCTTAGGAGAGCTGCTGTGGTTTAACCTGCGCACACCCTGCAAGGCAGGCAGGGTGCTGTCAGCAAAAAGGGGCTTTAAACCAGCGCGGTCAGCCTCGGCCAAGCAGGAGGGTCAGCTGCAGGGGCAGTTCACATTATCCTGCTGATACAGGATCATCTGCTCTAGAGCCTGCGCCATCAAAACTGCTTCAGTAAAATGTCACTTTGGAAGCGATGTAATTGTACCAGACACTGTGTGCAAACCAGACCTCAGCGCGCTCTGTGAAGATCTGCCATTCCCACTCACTCAGATCTTCAAAGACGTTAAGATGCCAAACCCCCACAGCTTTTAGGGGAATGGGGATGCCTTTGGTAGGAGTCAGGCACCCAAATGCTTGCCCCCACCCAGGCTTTGCTTCCTGGCTTATTCATCCTCACCCTCGTGAGTCACCGGTCCCTGGGCACCCATCAGCAGCCTGGGGCTTGCACAGGGAACAAAGGCGAGCAGTAAGGGAATCAGATTTTTTTTTTTTTCCTGTAAACTCAGCAATCCCAGGGGCCTGGGAAGGATTTTTCTAACATGAGCAAAGGGCTGGTAAGGAGAGGCAGGTGCCACAGAATTACAGAATCACCAGGAGCTCCCTGTCCGTTCTTACCCTCTTCAGCTTGCGAATGAAGAGGGTCAGCAGGAGCCAGAAGAGGGTCGCAGCCACGCAGGTACAGGTCAGGGTTATCAGCTCCAGGTTTGACCTCTCCGATGTGCCTGGGAAAATCAAGCAGCAAACATTTCAGAAAAGGACCTGCAAAACAAGGGCACTTTATATTTCTTTGCCATTAAAATAAAATACCAGGAAGGACCAGCTTCTTTTCTATGGGGTATTAATCTCTGTTTGGACTGGCTCACAGAGCCTCAAAAAAAAAACGGTCTCCCCAGCAAAGCTGTTGTATCAGGTCTCCCCTCAGCCTCCTCTTCTCCAGACCAAACACAGTAAAATTGCATTCGATCCATCCGTAAGTTTTTCAGTAAAAAGTCAACTCTTCTTTGGGGTGCAGGAGGTGAAGCAAGCCAGGTTGAGGATGACCAGTCAGATAATAATTTCCTTTTGAGGTGGAAATTCAGCTGCTGGGTATTTTTAGCCAAATTTTCTCTGTGTAAGAATGTGTGTGGGCCTGTGCATGCAGTTTCACCCCATCCTCCCCACCAGCAAAACCCATCTGGCCAAGCCCACATCCGAGAGAGGAGCAGAGGTCTCGGAACCGCTCACTCCCCAGCAGCCTCGGGAGAGGATGGGCTGTGCGGCGGGGACGGCTCAATGCCATGGTGTGAGAGATGCTGCTATGCGGCAGGAGAAGCTCCCAGGAGGGCTTGTGCTGGTGTGGACATCAGTGAATCCAGGTTTGACCCGGGGCACGCTGCAGTCCTGCTGCTGCTTGAGTTTTGCCATCCCAGATGTTTGATACCTTTCCTCGGGCGCTGTGCCTGCTCTGCCCCAGCTCAGCCAGCTCTTCCCTGCTGACGGCTGAGCCCTGCAGCCCTGACCTCCATCCCAGCCGTGCTGGAAACCCACCAGCCCTCACTAAAACTTGGGGTGGGTCTCTTGGAGGCTCACGGTGCAGGCAGCTGGAGTCCATGAGCTCTTCTTCTCATGCCCTGGATGGGTCCGGTGTGGCACCTGTGAGCGCAGCTAAGAGGAAGTACGGCATGGGGGTCTTGAGCCCCATCCCCACTGGGCAGAAAGCTGGGCATAGGACTTAGCCCTCCCGCCAAGCCGTGGGTCCCCTGGCAGGCTCTGTGCCCTCAGGTCTCCCACCAGTCACACCGGTGGCCCGGGGCCAGGGTCCCTGAGGGGACGTGGGACCCTCTCCGTCCCCAGTAGCACCTCACAGAACCCAGCTGGCAGGGAGCTGGGAGAGCTCGCCACACCGGGGAACAGATTCAGCACAGAAAGGGAAAACCGAAAACAACAACAACTGAAAACGGAGCAGCAAGAAAGCATGAACATTAGAAATCTGGAGGGTATTAAAGCCCACTGACAGATATTTAAAAAAAGCCAAAATAAAATTCACTTCAGACTGCTATTTAGGGACTCGTAAAATGGTTTCAGAGCAGTCTGTTTTGCAAATCCTGTGATCATGTCAAAATACCACATTTCCCACAATATGTTTTCCATGTGATTGGTAGCAAATGCAAAAAAATCCCTCACGCTCTGCCTCTTATTCTGATATACCCTCCAGAGAGAGAAAATGAGAGGACAAGGAGAAGTAATTCCAAACATGATTTCACAGTAGTTTTGTCAACTGCACTTGCAGCAGTTTCAGACCCCGGGCTGCTCGGTGTTACTCCTGACACATGGAAAAGGGATGACTGATGTCTCCCTGGTGGGCTTACCGGGTAATCCAGAGGGATGTGCTGCCTTGTCTTAGGCAAGGCTACAAGGCTTTGTTCAGAGGTTGAATTGCTTCCTGTAGCTGTAGCTCAACTAGCATAATATCTTCCCTCTGTAAAGGTGATAATCAGATTTGCGTTCCTGCCCTATATCTAAGATTCCTCTGGCATATCCATTCTGGAGCTTTGAGAATAAAGCTCACTGAAGAAACATACAACTGCAGCTACAAATAGAGATATTTCTCCAAAATACCAAGAGTGTTAATTTTTCAGAAGTATTTTTTTAAAAGCTTGATTTAGATATGCGACATAGTGATGGCATAAATGATACAGCCCAACGCAGCTTGCTCATTCTCTGCCATCAGGCTGTCCTTTTACGTATGGATACCCTCCTCTTGCTTCTGAGCAGCACCCATGCAGATGGTGAGTAATAGTTTCTGACATTTATTCAGTAAAACCTGGAGGGGCTGAAGGTTCATTTGTTGCCACTGCTCCATATGGCAGGACTCAGAAACCCCATGAGGCATGGTACAGCCAGTCTGGGGTGGAAGGCAGCAACTCCCTAGCCGCTACCTTATGCTGCACAGGAGGTTGAGAAGAGATGCGAAGGTGCTGTCTTTGAAATGTCCGAGCGAATTTAGGCAACCAGAAAGCATTTCTCCAGGCTGAGGTTGGGCTGGGTTATCAAATGCCAGATTCCTAGTCTTGCTAAAAGCCTTGCAGCCAGAGCTGGCTGAGTACTTCTCATCTGGGTAGGAAAAGGTTTGGTTTGAGGCAGAACAGGCAGGAACGCTCACAAGAGGGTTTAGGATTAGCAGAGTTGGGAAAGGATGTAAGCAGGACTAAATCCCTCTCTCTGCCTGGTAGCCCAAGATTTCTGGCTCCCCCGTACACCCATCCCAGACCTTTACCCACCACCCACCTCATTAGACACCGACGTTCCCCCCGTGTGCAGCTCTGCCACGTCCGTCTGACTCGCTGCGGCAAGCAGCAGCCCCCTTCCTGCCCCAGAGCCCCTCCAAAGCCCCCCTGCTCCGTCCCATCTCTCTGCAGTGCTGTGGAGGGAAAAGGGAAGAAATGCCACCGGCAGCAGCTCTTCCCTCTCCGCAGCGACAGAAGCCACCAGGACCGTGCAGGCATGCGAGGATGAGAGCCTGGACTAACGTGCTGACCCCGCCAGGCACGAGCTCAAGCCTTGGCTTGGCATGGGCTCTGTCATTAGGATTTCAGCTCTCAACGTCGAGGTGCAGCTCAGGTGTGAACCAGGGAAAAAGCAATGCCTGGGGCACTGACACCACTCTGCTGCACCCAAAGCATCCCTCACCCCTGCACCAGTGTGATCCACCCTGCTTCAGCCGTGTGATCCCATCGTCACGGCAGTGCAGCACTGCGGTGGGTGCTCAGAGATGCTGAGGAATTTCCATCCTTGGAGGTTGTCAAGACTTGGCCAGACAAAGCCATCACTGACTGGATGTAGTGTTGGTCACGATCCTGACTTGAGCTGAGGTTGAACCTCCAGAACTCCCTTCCAAGGCTTTTTGGCGGTTCTCTGAGGTAACAGGAGTCTAAATGTCCCTTGCTGATCACTTTTTCTCTTACAGTCACCCACATAATCCAAGCTGAACCTCATTCAGTAGCCAAGGGAATTCCAGTTAAACTTCATGGAAACTTTTCTGATGACTTCAGAGCTAGAGTGGCCCAAAAGGTGCAACAACTTTTTGAGATACAAAGTCAGAAAAGTAGAGAGACAGAAAACCAGAGTTATTTAAAAAGCAAACACCCTTTTAATGGTGTCAGAATAGTTCAGGGAACACTTAATAAATGTGATGTTTGCTTTTCTCATCAGCAGGGATCACATTAAGTTATCGAGCACCGGCTTTAAGAGAGGTCACGTTGCTGCATTCATTGGCTTGTTATACATCTGGATTTCAATGAGTGTGAGCTGTAGAAGATGCTCCTTCCTTCGTCAACCCTTCCTCTTCACGTGGTGCAGCACCTCTGCAACTAGGTGTATCGCTGGGTCCCGCTGAGAGGGGTGCGAGGGTCCCCAGGAGGAGAAGCAGGGCAAGGCTTTCATGGCAAGTCGCCCGCTCTGCAAGCGGGGCAGATGCCATGTGGCCAGACATCCCTCCGAAGGAGACCTGCCCGAGACAGCCCGTGTTCCCCTCGTACCCAGCAGCGTGTGTCCCCAGGCTTTTAGGGACACACTCCCCTCTGCCTGCTGGGTGCTCTGGCAGTCATTTGCTGCTCCCGTTCCGTCCTTGCAGATTTGCTGCCTCTTCAGTTCCTCAGCTTGGTCTGACATGGCCACAAACGCAGCCCCTCTCCTCCTCAGATAGCCCGGCAAGGACGGCTTCCAAACCAAACATGGGCTGCGATTATTTAAAGATGGCCCTTGGATTCCACCATCCATTCATCCATCTCAGATACAAAAATAACACATTGTTTTATCTGAGTATAAAAATGTTTTTTCAGAGGAAATAAAGAGAGCAGACGGTTTCCTTCCTGACTCATTCACAAACTACTCTTCCAATCTGCTAAACACGGCCGTCGGCACGAGGCGTTGCTCCTCTCCCTTTGATCTGCAGCCCTGCGCTCCGAGAGCCTCCGGGATGGAGGGAAGGCTTTGGTGCTCGCAGCAGCAGTCGCAGGGTCGTCTGTGTTTCTCAGAAAGACAAGCAAATGGCAAAGCCTAGAGAGAGCCCCACGTTGAAACCCTGATCTCGTCCCTCCAGGCTCAGTGATGGGGTGAGAGGCTGCTGTTCCCTGGCAGAGGGACAAACGCTTCAGTTTGGCGTAGGAATGAGTGAGAAAACCTTCAGTGATGTCCCTTCAGGCAGCAGGAAGAGACAGGGTGGAAAGGCACTTTCCTTGGTCACAGTAGATAAGACAACTTCTCATTTTCTCGTCCAGTCTCAAAGCTATAGATGTTAATATGGTAGACTTCATCTCCTGCTTTTCTAAGAGCTCCCACAGAAGTCACACAAGAACATTGCCAGTGGTCCCCCAGGACATGTAACCAGAGAAGAAGCCTTCCTGGCTGCTGTCTTTCCTCTCCTCTGGATCAGGAGATATGACTTCCGAGCCGTCCTTCAGAATGCTTGTGGTTGAAATAAATAGCCAAGTTACAGTGATGTTATAAATCAACACAATAATGAATTGTCTTGTCCAGGACTATCAATTAGTAGGGTGCATTGGACAGCAAGTACTTAGGGACAAGTTCTTCTTTTAGCTATTACAGCAGCCATAAAAACCTTAGCATTATTCACAAGGAGACAGGTGTTTTCAACTCCTTGATTACACCAGTTAGGCTGGTCCACATGGACATGTACTTATCCCTGACCTTTTAAAGCAAAAACATCATTGTATCATCAATGATCACCATTAACGCACTCATGGCAGAAAATCAATACTGATTTACTAGCTGTAATTGTCTTCTGCTGTAGGGTAGTATACAAATACTCCGTAGTATTCAGATATGTTTGGCAATTGAATAAGAACAGCCACAAAGACATAAATTCTGCCTGAGAGACCTGGTGGTAGTCCAATTGTCTTCTGTAAAGAGAAACTAAATGCATTTAGGACTATTTACTTAACGCATGAGATCAATAAGATAGGTTCTGTCAAATTCAATTCGTACATGGCACTGACTTATATGGAGAATGTCAACCTACTTCTCATAATATATGAAGCAAAAGGGTATTCAATGAAACTGCAAAGCCACTGAATAAACCTTATTTTAATGCAATGTAAAATGACTTGATAGAAGTCACTGCCACAGGTCTCAGTCAAGCTTGGCAGAAGGCAGAACAACGCTGGACATTTAAACGAAGAGCAAAATAACTCAAGTAATGGTTGCAGAAATAACTAGATCATACCTATTTCTTACAACAAGTGCCTTTGCAAAATGCACGTGTAGCTATCGCTACGCTGAAATCTTCTAGTTCAACTTGGCAGTTTGCTTTACATTGAAAATAAACAAATGAAAATATCCCAGGCCTCTAATTTCTATGGAGTTAACCTGAAATGGGAAAATGAGTGGGTAGGAAAGTGTCCCTTGTTCTGTATTTTGTTTGTTTTGATGATACTAAATTTACATTTGTCTTCCACCCTGACCCGATCTTTGTTGGGTTGAAGCAATTCTTCTTTTTAGGTCAGTGTAAACACGCTCCGAGTTAGCATTTCCTGCTAGGCTTCCTTTCCAACCTGGTACGTTTCCCTTGCTAGGACTTCCTTCGAATTGTTGCCTTCAGAGATCACCGCATGAGCCCCAAGTCATACCCCGACCCTTCCAGCCTGACTAGGAACATCACCCTGGCAAGCTTGTTCTTCCCATTTAATGTCGTGCCTTACCTTGTACTGTGACATACGCCGCACTCTCCACGGACCCCTTTAAGTTGGTGGCTATACACTGGTAAAGTCCTTCATCCTCCTCTCTTACTCTTTCAATAAACAGCATTCGGCTTCCGGGCCCTAAAATTATTCCTGTGAAATGAAATATTTTGCAATGAGAGGGAGCCAGGATATAAACAAAAACAGGCCCTTGTGTAATAATATCTGCTTCAAGTTCTTCTCAAAAGAAATCTGAGCCACAGACTGCACAGCACAATGTTGTCCGCAGGAAAGCCAAATATACTTGGATGTTTTGGGAATCTTTTGGAAATCAGTATTTGCAAAGCACTTGTGTCAGTGAAAAAGCTCAGCCTAAGGGAATGATGTTGGGAGCACTTGGTACTGTGTGTATTGATTAGCACCGTGCCTAGACTTTCACCCAGGTGAGTTCTTCAGCATGTCTCCAACTTTTGGAAAATGGGTGGTCTGATGACTGCACTTACAGGCGTAGGTCTGCCCCAGAAGCAGCTCAAGCTTAGAGCACTTCCAAGACCCAGCTCCATGCACCCACACTGGCCTTACGGGTAGCAGACTCGCTCCAAATCTCGCTTGCCCATGTGGCATGGAAAGATGAGGCCCTTTGCAGAAGGACCCCGGCTAGTGCAAAAAAGAGGTGGCATGAGGTGTACCCCAAAACATAGGAGTTACCTGAAGTTTTCAACATCTTGGTTATTCCAGCTAGGTCAACCCAGAAGCCAGCCTGGCAACACTCCAGAAAGCGAGGAAGAGACAGGGAGCAGATTTCGCCTCAGGACTGCCTCTAAGGCATCGTATAGCCAGGAAATGTGCAGTCAAGGACACACTCGTGTGTTTGGCTCCATCAGAATTACTGTCCCATCAAAGTGTATTCCCACCATCTATTTCAGGCACCTAACTAAAGTGCTCTGACCTACCCTCTAGAGACATCTTCCTGGCTCCCAACTTTATGTGTTGCATTACATCCAAGTTAGACACATAACTTTCATTTGTAGAAGACAGTGTTAGCAAAGCACATTACAACGACATGGTCACTGTAAATCTTCATGAAATCTGGCTCTAGAATAAGTTTAGTGCCTGGGCTGCAAGTCTGCGCGGGCTTATAATTCACTTGGAGAAATCCTGAGAGTTTTTCCCAGTTGCTTTTATCCTTGCTATATTAATTTCCAATAATGCAGGACAGAACCGCAAACATCGACTTTCTAAAACGTTATTATTGAAATCTACACTTAGGATTCAAGTCCCTACAGACCAAACCTCCTTGGACATTACTGCTGAGCCTGTTACACCAGCTCATTGTGTACTTCTCATCCGAATGTGGATGAATTCCTATGAGAATGGTTTTGCCATTCCCCTCATCATTCATCTCCACCTGAGATCTTCAAGGCACACATCCGTGACTTTGGTGCCGGCAGAGCTGGACCTGTAGCCTTAGCGGGTCTTTGAAGCCACATTCCAGACAGAGCAGTAAACATCTCCCAAAGTTTTCCTGTAGCTGCAGCATGCTACCTGGGAAGCTGTTCCTTTCTGCTGCGTGAGACCTGGATTCCTCTGCTGCAAGCAGATGCATTTCGGTCTTGGACACCCCAGGTACGGATTTAGTCTGGTGGCTAGGTTGGGAATCAAGAGCAGACTTCTCACGCCCACCCACAGAGTCCCCCTGGTACTCCTACGCACATCACGCAAGCTTGGTTTTCTCCTGCCTGGCTCTACGCTGAGCCAAGACACCTGATCCCTAGGCTCCCTCTATAGTAAATGGAGAGAAATATGTTTCTCCGGAGATGAATCTTCTATGATGCAAACTGAGAGCTATATTTTTTCCACTGACTGCACAGAGACCCGTTGTGTCTGTACCTCCAACCTGGGTGAGGTTTCGGAGTGAGACAGAGTAACCCGGAGTACCCGTGCTGCTGCCTGTAACGCCCGGGCAGTACTCCTTCCTTACATCCAGTACCGATGCCAATGACTCCGCAAATGGCTACCCAAGGCAGATGGGTAAATAAAAAGACTGTAAAAGGTAAGCGAGTACACAGAGCTCTCACCTGATTCTTGTTGTATTTCTTCATGGTTTTTAAACCAGGATATCTGGGGCTCGGGGATGCCACGAACCTGGCACTCCAACATGGCAGAGTTGCTGGTGTTCACCGTCTGATCCATCAGCTGCCGCAGCAGGGCTGGTGCCTCTTGAGCTACAAGACAAAACAACACCTCCATTTTACACTCTTGTAACTGCGGGGGTTTAATTATCTTCCCTACCAGCGTTTTACTGATGCCAGAAATTGCTACGGCTGTTCTACCAAGTTCATTGTTCGCAGATTTTATTTACCATTCCAGTTTGCTTAAGAGCATTTGGTGTGTACAGAGTATTCCCGTTACTCAGTGATAGCAGGCTATGGTGATCAATGAAGACCCGATGATGACATTGTTGAAAAGATTTCCTCAGCTCCATTACCAACCACATGTGTTTATCGAAAGCAATGAGTTTCTGTGAGAGCTCGGAATTTTGCATCATTAAGAGAAACAAACTGTGACACCAAGGTTTTTAACAATTAGCAGGACACCCTTGTAGCAGAGTATCTCTGCATCCCTGATAGCACCATGCAGCTCTGTACACCTCGATACCCGTGAATGTGACTTACATCACCTACTTACTTTAAAGAATACCGTTATAAGTAATGCTCGGTAAACTCACATCATCTAAACCCAGAAACCATAAGCACAAAAGCATTGTGTTACATGTCCCGAAGTCTTCATAAATTCTTCCACTTTTGCGTTTCGTATGTTTGGCTGAAGGTAACAAACCACACCGCAGCCTGTTTGCCAAAACTGCGTTGGGCAGAAATGCGCCCGTGTCCTCCGACATCCCACAGAGGCTGGAAACCCTGACGGCAGGGGCTGAAGCTGAGTGCTAGCAGGCCACACAGCATAGCAACACCGCTCCTCTTTTACTTTTATCTACTGACATTCATGCAAACGCAATGTAATAAAACATTTCCATGACAGCCAGTGACAATCAGTATTGGAAGTGCATCTCGTCTGTTCTGCTTCTGCTCAAGCGCCTCCCAGAAGGGCGTTTCAAAAGCAGTCTATGGACATCACGTAAAAGTCACCCCTGAAAGAAGCAAAACGACGCGTCTTTCTCATCATCATCTCAACCCTTTGCCACTCCTTCTCCCATTTCGTAGAGAGCCGAAGGCTGTTCTGACAAGGACCAAGATATTTGCCATGTCTACGCACATTGTATGGCAACACCTTTCTGTCACATTTGCAACCCTCACATCATCCTTTTTGGTATTTTGGTCCCTTTAAAGCAGTGATGGAGAATCCAGAGAGCTCCTGAGCAATCTCACAGATGCAGGTGCTCTGCAGGTTCCCTCAAATTCCCGGGTCTTGCAAGAACCGATTATTTGCAATTTTTCCTTTCAAGAATCAGCAGTTACTAACATGGTAAGACAGACATTACAAAATAAGAGGCAAACCAAAATAAAACAAAGCAGAAACCAACTCTTTGCAAATATTTTCTTTTAGACTGCAATCAATACCGATACGCCAAGTTCAAGTATAATATCAGCTGAATTTCTGACATTCAGTGTTTGGAAGATTATTCTCTACCCTTTCAGAAAAACTATCAGACACTTCCAACTTCACAATCATTCTGTTACCAACTGTAAATAAAAACTCTCCAGAAAAATCAAGCCCCTACGTACCACCAGCTTATGCAGTGCGCATGAACCCCGTAGTCCTAAAAGCACTTTTAAAGTAGGCTATCTTTGCTATGCTCTTACCCCTTGAAATTAATTCCAGCATAGTCATGACCGTGCAATGACCACTTTGGGCTTTTCTGAGCTGCAAGTCTGTAATTTCCCCAGGCAATGCTATTTTTTGTTGACAGTGTAGTAGACAATTTGTTCTCTCTTCCCAAACAGCAACGCTCATGAGAGAGGCTGTAAAGTAAATTCTTCATCCCATGCCTACACAATGACATGGTCAACAATATTTGCCTTGCGGCCAAGAAGACTGCCCTCTTCTCATCAATATCTTGCCTCAATTTTTGCACAGTTCTCCTTGTTCACAACACTGTCTCTGAACAGGTACCGTCTGATGCACGTCCACAGTCTGCATTTCTCAGCAGTTCCTGACGGACACCCCAGCCCAGGCATCCAAAACAAAGGCGGACAAGATGAGACAACAAAGGCAAATCACACATTCTGCGAGTTATTTGTGATTAATTTTAATTTGTTTATAGCCATACACTAAAGACGGGTTTTCATATTAAGAAAAACTTTTTTGCTTAAAACTTCAGTCACCATTCACAGACTTTCAGTAATTTCTCCGCTGCAATCAGCTGATTTTTCAAGGACTTGGTCAACCTGAGGATTATTCTCTTTTGCAAACCACTCGTTTTCTCCTGTTCGTTTTTGCGGTGAAGCCAAGGCGGGCGATTTCCAATGCCCTGCTCCACTCACCCTGAAGCTGAGGGGCTGCCCTGGCCACCAGCACGCACAGAGCAGGGCTCAGCACCCAGGGCAGCCCCCCGGGCTCATCCCCAGCCCTTGTGCCTGCCCACAAACGCTGCCTTGCCGGGCCAAACTCTGCTCTCCGTTACCCCGAGGAACTTCATTGTAGGCAGAGTTTAGCCCAGGGGAGCGACAGGGGCATCACAGCGGGGAGAAGGGGATGCTGGTGTCGGAGTATTCAGCCGACCCGGGGTGGTAAGGAGGGAAAATTTGCATTTCCAAAAGCAAACAATGGTAAACAAGGGGAAAACATTACAATTTGTTCATTTTGGGGTTTACTTTTGCATTCCATCCATTTTTGCCCTTTGTTATGATTATGTTGTCTGTTCACTTATTTTTATTAATCAGTACAAAAATATAAATACAAGTTTTAATTTTAACACTTAAAAAAAAAAAAGAGAAATATAATTCACACCTTTCTCCCTAAATAATATATTACACAACAGAAAGCAGAGAAACTCCCCAAACTGATGAGATTCTCCAGTCATCTGAGGACACCAAAAGTGACATCAGTAGTTATCTGGCCAACAAGAACTGCTTTCCTCAAACGTTTCCAGTGAGGTTTCTCTGTGCCTCCCAACACGGGCAGCCACATCGGGATGCTACGACATCCTTGCACAGCATGGCCTTCCAAGAGCTGGTCGAGACCAGGCTGGTAGGACGTCCACCCAGCAGTGATACACATCGTCTCAATTCACAACAGTTTCACAGAGGAACAGTCTAATTGCCACATCTCTTTTTTTTTTGACCCAATCTCATATTGCCTGGCAACTGGCTGTTACAAGTCATCGTGCTCCGGCTCCCAAGGCCATGGAAAATTTGTAACGTCCTGTCATCACCGCCCACCTTGCCATCAAATGTCTTCTCACAAAATAGCCTCGTAAAAAAGGGGATTCTGTATTGTAATGCTTCTGAAGACTTGCAAATGCTAAAGGGCGCGCTTGCCCCGTTTTTAAGCAGTCATCAATGATTTCGTTTGCTTTTTAGGCCTGTTTTAGAAAAAAAGAGCGCCAGATCCCTTTGCAAGAACACATTGTTTCTGGAAGCCATCACACTAATAATGAACAAAAGAGCTACTGTATACAAGCGGGCTATAGGTGACATTTCAAGATATAAATGATTATTCTTTTCTTTACTCTGACAACTTCCAGGTTATCAATTGTTTTCTAAGCATTTTAGGCTCCATGAAACTGGCATTATGGGGAAATGCTATTGTTTACCCTTTCACACTTGACAAAAGCAATTCCCACGTGAACGACAAGTTTAGCCGTGGGACACAGTCTCGATACCTAAAGGAGGAAATAGTCTGGTGAGTTCCCAAGCGCAAGAAACTGTCATGTTGTCACCCTCTATTTTAAAAGCACAGCCACTTTGTTCCTTTGCTGTAGCTATTTTGGTCACTACGGTCTGTTTTGTTACAGCTTATGTAAATGCTATATAAATGAGCAATCATAAATGTAACCAAAAATAATAAAAGCTATGTATTGTAAAAAAATAAAGTTATCAGATCTATTAAAAATAGTAACTTTTCCCTTATACAGGATTTATAATACACAGAAACATCTCATAGCAAAATCATGAAGAAGGAAAAAAAAGGGGAAACGCTCGTAAGAAAGCCTTAGGTTGCCCTTAATTCTCCTTCAGCAGTTTGGCTGGTTCTTAATCCCCATAATAAATCCAATTGTCATTTGCATACCAAAAGCAATGAATATTTTTAATGGCTTCAATTCTGAATTTGTATTTTTAAAAAAGCATTAAACAACTCACTGTGCTGGCTGCAACCTTGTCAGTCATGTTAGTGTAATATTTCTCATCTAATAGGATAATTACAACATTACAAATTCCTGAATCTTCAGGCCCCGAGCAACACTCACACTTTTATCAGTAGCTTTTTACATCAGTGCAGAACTGACTTTAAAAATTGACCAACACAGCAACTGGAAGTCTACCTGGATTTATTTGGAGAAACATGGTTCACGTCTGTCAGTTTTTAAATCACCATTATTATAAATGATATGATAGGTCTGTGCATTATATCAACATTTTTATTTCTTCCCTGCATACTTCTTTTAGAAGATACTTTTTAAGATTAATGTACTTTAGTGTAGAAAATAATTTCAAATAAATAAGCATTAGAACTTGCTCAGCAGGTAATATTTATAAGTCCATCAAGATCAGATTAAAATAAAAAATATATAGTCCAGTCAATCTCAAACTGAATTGTGCTCATTCCGCACATTCAAGTTAACTTATTAAATGTCCGTTGTTGACTGAAAACAGCAGTTTTTAAAGTTAATCAGTTTATTCAGCTTTGACACTTTTGATGAGGCTGATATCAGAGTGGAAGAAAGATTGATCCAAAGTTTTCCTTATTGCTCAGTAGGAGGCAGCAAGAGAAAAAAATAACAACATGCAAAATGTAGCACAGGGGATCTTCCAAACCCCAGCTTCCACGTGCCTTGTCAAAGCAGAAAACACCCGTCTGAACTCAACTGGAAGCTCACGCGTTACGATTTTGTTTGCTATTCCTCCTACGTCCAACCCATGGGGGAATGTGCACCACCTCAGGGCCTGAAAGGTAGCAACAGTAATAAAAAATCAAGATGATATGAGACACCTGTTACTGTTTAATGAGTCCTTTAATGCTTTACATTGCTTTGTGTTGTACAATCATTCCTTGTGCTTTTATATTTGAGGATCCGAGAGTAAACAGCCTTTTTGTTGCAGTGCTCACCTCTGATTGTAACGTCTTTCTTTTGAAGCACTTCTTTCCCCGTGTATATGTTCCTTGCTCGGCAGGCATAGGTGCCCGAGTGTGCCAGGGAAACGTTCTTGATGGTCAGAGTGAGGGTGATGGAGTACTCCTTGTTGAGGGACCTTTTTGCTTTCGTTTGATTGTTGACCGTCCTCGGTAAAATCCAAGCAATGTCTTTGTACAGGAATTTGTTGGCCGAACAGGACAATACCAGATTCTCTCCTTCAATGGGCATTCTTTCCAAACTAATATGGAATCCACTCGGTACGTCTGTCAAAAATCAAGAACACTTTTTAGTTTATATGAAACGAATGAGCCAAAATTATCACGGCGTATATTTTCCCCTTTATCAGGAAGCCTTTGAACTAATCAATGTCGTTGTCTTCCTGCTCAAGTCTCTAATCTTTCCTTTCACATGCTGGGCTCCAGCTATTCTTCTAATTTGTCTTGGAGCTATGAGACACTTGGGCTCAGATATCAGCTGGTGTAAACTGAAGTTGCTCTGGGAACTAGTGAGTTTGTATAAATGTTATGCCAAGTTAAGACAGAGTAGGGCAAGGTACCAAAAGCAGAATTATTTAAAGACAGCACAGTGGGACTAAGAAAAAGGAGGAAAATTCTGATCTCCATTCCAGCTTGTGAACTGCATGAGAGAAAGCAAATCTCAGGAGGACAGTAGAAAAATACTGCAGCTCATCATGCTTGGTTATATTGTCTTCTTGTTATTCATAACTATTCAGACAAATTATGTCTATTTCTTAAAAATTCCTCAAATCCTGAGAAATTACGGAATCTGTGATTACCTGCCTGAGATTTCCCTTGGAACAGAGGTGCTTACCCTCCATGCATTTAAAGTGTGTCAGCCACCCAGGAGGAAAGCAGAAAGGATGTGCTCTGGCCTGGGTGGCCAGCTGTGCGTGGGCAGCACTCGGATGTAGATCCCTCTATTCAGGCTACTTGACATTAATCATAGGTGAACAATATTTCCACCCAAGAGAAATCAAGGATCATTGCACTAACCATTTACTAACATGACTTCAAGTTTTCACAAGGACTTTTCATAGCACAGCACAGCAAATTCGTGTTCAGGCAGGAATAATTTAGACAACAATGTAAAAAGTCATACTTGATGAAGTTGTGTTTGTAGTTCATGGTAACCCTACTGCAGCTTTCTCCACCTGGGGAGCGGCACAGAGCCGCGGCGGTGCCGACTGCCTCCCGGCCGGCTCTGCCTGGGGCTCATCCCTCCAGCAAGGGAGAGCTACGCCACTGATCCCAGTGAAAGTAGAAGCAAGTTCCTGAGGGAAAGCACTTCCAAGTTTTACTCCTGGAGTGCAACCTCTCTTGGTTTATTTGTAGCCAATATTCTGATAAAGTCATTTCCTTCTTCTCGGTCAAGCAACATTGACTTTGGCCATTTTCAATTGTTCTTTCACTGCTAATTGCTGCGGCACTTGGCTGTGAACTTGACTCAAAATCATAAGAATGGTTTTGTCTTTCATAAAGGAGAATTATGCCTTTTTTTCTTGTCCTTTAGAGCATGAGCAGCTCAACACCACCTTCCATTCAGTCCCAATGTCGCTTCGGGTTTAATGTCACATCAGTAGGGATACGTAAAGAGTAGATGTCCAGTGAATAACATCCCACATCTTCTTTCAGTAACCTCTTTCACTGATTAACCAATCCACCAGAAATCTTCTCCCTAAACCCCCACAACACAAACTGAGCTGCCTTGCCTCCCCAGGGGGACCATGACCATGACCTGCTCACTGCTGCCTTTCAAAGTTCTGTCTGCTGAAAGTCTGGTACCAGTCGCTCCCCTTAATATCCTCTTTTCTACACTTAGCCCTGAGTGTTAAGCACACGGTAAATGGGCTCCTGCAAGTCCTGGATTGAAATTTCCTCTGACTGTAAGTGCCTTCCAGGGAGAGGCCTGATTCCTGTTGGTTGAACTCATCGTCTCCTTGCGGTGGGAGGAAAGTGTGTGCCTGCCACCAGCTGTAGTTCAGGTGCATGGTCCAAAGATCAACCAAATGGAGTCAGTGACACTAACATATTAGATTAGAGATTAAAGCCTGTGTGTTGACTTGTTCCTCTTACATTTCATTGGGATCCCCTTTTTTCCTCTCTCCTGCAAACAAAACTATAAGAAAAACTTTAAATTTAGTGAACTCATCTATAAGTGACTATCCTCAGCACCCTTTTTGATACGTAAGAGCACGTGCTGCCAGATTCTGATCTCAGTTAAGAACATGTTGACTGGAAGTGCTAATAACACAAAACCTTTCCTTACATGGGGTACAGCATATTTAGCCTAAACCATCAAACTGTAGACCTTGACTTGAACATAGCTGTTTTGGGTACGAGCAAAAGTTTACAGCCCATGGAGTGACACAGGCACCTCCAGAGGGCAATGCAACCCATTGCCTTAAGATGAGTCAAATTCCAGATACCCTGATCCCTCAGGCTTAATTATGAAGAGATCCTACATGCCTAGCTTAGGCTTAAATACTTAACTTTAAGGCTTAAGTTAGATGAAGTGAATCCTATGCTTGATTTCATTAAAAAGCATTGAATTCAGATACACTTAAAATCAATCAAGGGTCCAAAGTTTTGATCATGGATAAGTATTTGGATGAAAGAAATTGCTGCGTCTTACTCACAGTACATCTCAAATAGTTCTAGTATATGTTGGGAAAGCCAGGGTATGAGTCTGAAATACTGCTAATTTTTGGCTTTTGCAGATGCCAGTACTCAGTAAAAGCTAGAAAGAGCCAAGCAAAACTCTTAAGATGAAACTAAAGATCCCCTGGGACTGAGACAAACGAACTATTTTTAACGTAAAAGCATAGCGTGCCAACACAATAATATAGTTGCAACTACTTCCATGTTGTCAGGTCTGGAGCTCGTCCTAGATGTGTCTTCTGTGAAGAAAGACTGTTTTCTGAATAAATCCAAGGACAAAAGCAAAATGCACAGGATTCCAAGAGAATCATTTGTTTAACGGCTACGAGCCCCCTAATATATGACACCTCTCACCAATTGTTACAAGCTCAGGCTAGCTAAATAACGTGGCTGGGAATAATGTAAAAGGGTTTTATTTACTTTAGTGATTTGAAGCTTCCTGTGGAAATAGCTCCCAGGTTTCCTGATGGAAGATTTTGTTTATCTTTGCCAAGCACCATCAGGAATCTCAAAATAAAGTGTGCTCAGTGACATTGGGAAACCAGGGAGATAAGGCAGAGCTGTTCCTGTTTCACCCTCTGTAATTGCAAACACACCCATGGGCCTGCTGTGTGCCAGCAAAACAGCCCAAAATGTAGGAGAGGCGGGCGGGAAGGGGGCTACCATAGTTAAATTTGGCATAGAGGGGTTGTTACAGAGACCGTTTCGGTATCAGCGAGTAGGACAGCTTTCAGAAATCACCTTTCTACGTTGCTTTTATATGAGACACACAGCCTACTTTTGTGCCCTGAGCAAAGATTTGCTTTTAGAAAGAAGACGGTGTAACGACACCCCCAAAATGCCCTTCATCTGACAGAGGCCATAGGAAAGGAATGCTACTCCAGAGCCCATGGACTTCACGTCCTACACCCTCAGGCACCGCGTATAAAGTTACACCGCTCTCAAACCTCCCAGATACACATAAGCAAGTTTCACTTCAAGTCCGAAAATAATGAGATTTACAATAACTTAAGGAAAGGCTTGTTCTTACTGAGTCCTCTCTGCTATACCTTCTTGCACTCATTTCATCACATCTACCTTTCCCTGAAGGGCTGGAACATGCCACCACCAAACTAGGGTTGGTGGGACAACAAGCTCTGCCTTCCCACGACCTTCCCAATGGTTTCTGCTTATAAAAAAGAGACTTCTCACACCACCACAGCCACTTCACTGGGGCACGTGCATTTTCTGAAGGACATTACCTCCAAGGAAAGGGATTATTCCTGTTCAGGACAGGCTTTGTCTCCATCTGTTCTTTGGAGTCCTTCCTGGCTTGTCCCTTTTACAGAGGGCAGTAGCTCCTCTTCCTACAAGAGATCGCCTTCTCCTGCTTAGACACTTCTCTTACTTTTAGACGCTTTTGGGTGGTTCATGCTGGCTTCATATGGCGCCAGCAGACCCAACGACATAAGATAAACTAGCCCCAAGCTGTCACGCAAGACCTGAAATATTGGGTTTGGACTCATCAGAAGGAAATACTTTGCAGTGTCCTGTTCACATTCATCAGCATTTAGGGCTGTCTTTTTTTTTTTTATTCCTTCAGCATGTTTTTCAGCAAATGCTGGATGTGTTCATTTCATTGACGTGAAACACAGGCTGTTACCCAGCCACAGCAGTTTGGTCTCAGCTGGTGGAGGACAATTATGATTACACCACGCGAGCCCAACCGATGCATTACGTGCGCAAAACAGGAGAATGAGCCTAACTTGATTTTTGCAAGTTCAAATCAGCAGTATTGTTTAAACTGCCTTCAATTAGTGCAACTGAGTATCAGCGGATGATCAGGACTTTCCACGTCACACAACTGAAGTGTGCAGCTCCAGGAACTCAGAGGACAAATGCGTTTCAACTTCATCACCTTATGCAGAAAGTTTGCCATCAGTCAAGATATTAAGAATTTCCAAGCCATAATAAAGCTGCCACTCCTCTTTCTGAACACCAGCCAATGCAAGAGTCTTCAAAGGGAAGTCATAATATTCTGCATGTTCTCATGCAAGCTTTGGTATCAAGGAGAAGGGTTTCCTTCTGTCCGTGGTCGAGATCTAGCAGTGTGAGATCTAAGCAGGGAAATGAACTCCTTCATGTCACTGCACTAAAATATCTGAAACTTTGAAAAGGAGATTTGGATACAGCGAATGGGGCCCATCAAAATGCAGCTTCATTTGGTTTCAGGGTCTTCCATGTCGCATTTTGAAGACTGAGGAGTAAGAGCTAGAGAAGGCCAAATTCAGCATCTTGCACATTAAAAGAGCAACAGCCTCAGGGAGTGACTCTCAGTGACTGCTCAAAGTTACACGTGAAGTCCTCACATAAAGATGAGAATACGGTGCCATTGGCCTGTGAATTTATGGAGAACTATGCGTCGTTGTTTAGCTTTCTGTCCCAACAGACACAATGTAAGGATAGCAACGAAAGCACAACTGTCATTTGAGAGCGGGGACAGCAGTCATCTTCCAGGTGGCAAATGTTCTTGTCACATCCAGTAACAGAACATGGAGATATTCTTCTTGTTTCTGTATTTTAGCAAATGACCTGCCTATGTGTCACTTCTCTGTTTATACTTTTCATGCTTGTTACCAAATTTCTATATTTATAGATAATTGGTACTTTCTAAATGCGGAAGTGTATTATGATATGAAGCTTTTAACAACTGTAGACACCCACGAGCAAGGTCTGCAAGGAGAAACTGTACCAGCAGCATGTAGTGGATACTACAAAAAGAAACGAGGGGTGGTCACAGTGGGTGACTCTCTGTTCAGGGGCACTCAGGTGCCCATCTGCTGACCTGACAAGGAGTCACAAGAGGTGTGCTGCCTTCTGGGAGCTAGAGTCCGAGATCTTGCTGAGAGGGTGCCACAACTTGTCAAGAGCACAGACTATTATCCATTGCTACTCTTACGTGTGGGCACAAATGACACCGCAAGCCAGAACCTGGGTGGAATCAAGAAAGACTACAAAGCCCTGGGTGTGCAAGAGAAAAGTATCAGTGCCCAGGTTATATTTTCTTCCCATCAGATGAAAGGGTGCAGCCAGAAATAGATGCATCATACAAATCAACTTCTGGCTTCATGGTTGATGCCGTCATGAGGGTTTTGGCTTTTATGACAACGGGACATTCTTTTATGACTATAGCTGTTAGGAAGGGATGGGATCCACCTGTCTAGAAGAGGCAAGGGAATCTTTGGCAGCAGGCTGGCCAGTTTGGTGAGGTGGGCTTTAAATTGAAGGACTCAGGTGGTGGGGTCCAAAGTGGCAATGCTCACACCATTGCATCCAACTGGGGAATGAGGCAGGCCAACCAGAGCAGTGACAGATGTTCCTTAGCCACCTCCCAAGATGAGAACCAGAAGACCAACCACCTCAAGTGTATGTATACCAATGCATGCAACCTGGGAAACAAACAGGAGGAACTGGAGCTCTGTGCCCAGTCAGAAAGTTATGATATCATAGGAATAACTGAAGCATGGTGGGACAACTCACATGACTGGAGGGTCACAATGGATGACTATAGGCTGTTTTGTAAAAACAGGCAGGGAAGAAGAGGAGGAGGAGTCGCACTCTATGTAAGGAGAACCTTGAATGTATAGAAGTCAGCTATGGCAATTGTGGACACCCTACTGAATGCCTGTGGGTCAAGATCAGAGGGGTCGCCTCCAAGGGGGATCTTACAGTAGGCATCTGCTACCAATCTCCAAACTGAGACGATAAGGCAAACGGAGCAATATTTGGGTCATTTAAACAAGCTTTGGGTCAACAGAACTTGGTTCTTATGGGTGACTTCAACTACTCTGGCATTTGTTGGAAGAACAATACAGCAGCTCATATGTCATCCATCAATTTCCTGGAACGCGTAGAGCACTGCTTCCTCATACAAATGTTAGATGTGCCAACCAGGAATGAAACACTGCTGGACTTGCTACTCACAAACCAAGAAAACCTGCTTTGTAATATCTCGGTTAGTGGTAGCCCTGGCCGCAGCGATCACAATACTGTGGAGTTTGGGATGCTGCCGAGCATGCTGAAGGTTAGTACTAAGACAAAGGTTTTAGATTTTAGAAGAGCAAACTTCAGCTTTCTCAGAGCTCAGTCAGGAGGGATTCCATGGGAAGTTTCCAAGGAGGATAAAGGAGTTAGCGAGTGCTGGGAGTTTTTCAAGACCACTCTCCTGGAAGCACAAAACCAGTTCATCCCCTTTAAAGGTAAGGGAAGCAAGCAGAGCATCAGATCCCCTTGGCTTAACTGCAAGCTTCTGAGTATGATCAAAACAGAAGGAAAATATTGGCCTGCTGTTACACAGGAGAGGTGAATTAGTCACCAACAAAGGCAGAGGTTCTCAACACTTTCTTCACCTCTGTCTTTACCAGCACTGTTGGGCCCCAGGCCTTGGGAACAAAAATCCAGGTTGATGCAAACACAAACCCACCGTCAGTGAAGGAAGAGTTGGTCTGTGAACTATTAAAGGAGTTTGACCCCTACAAATCAATGGGCCATGACAAAATCCACCTGAGGGTGTTCAGAGAGCTGGCTGACATTGTTGAGAGGCCGCTCTCCATGATCTATGAGAAGTCGTGGAGCCTGAGGGACATCCCAGAAGACTGGAAGAAGGTTCATGTCACCCTCATCTACAAGAATGGCTTAAAGGAGGATCCAGGCAATTATAGGCCCATCAGTCGTACTTTGGTCACTGGGAAAGTTATGGAACAAATCCTCCTGGGGGCTATCACAAGTCAAATGAAGCACGGGATTGGGAAAAGCCAGCACGGATTCACCAAGGGCAAATCATGCTTGACAAACCGGATTGCTTTCTACAACACAGTAACCTGCTCAGTTGAGGTGGGGCAAGTAGTGGACAACGTCTATCTGGATTTCTCCAAGGCTTTCAGTATGGTTTCACACAGCCTCCTCCTAAAGAAACTGATCCGTTGTGGTCTGTGTGGTGGATGGGGAAGTGGCTGAGGGGCCACACCCAGAGAGTGGTGGGAAATGGCTTCTTTTCAAACTGGCAATCTGTCAGAAGTGGGGTCCCCCAGGGATCGATACTAGGCCCAACGCTGTTGAGTATCTTCATAAGTGATCTGGATGATGGGATCGAGTGTACCTCGATGAAGTTTGCCGATGACACCAAACTGAGTGGGAAAGTGGATGCTTCGGAAGGGAGAGCCACCCTGCAGGAAGAACTGGATAGGCTGGGAAAGCGGGCTCACAGAACCTTATGAAGTTCAACAAGGACAAATGTAAGGTCTTGCACCTGGGAAAATGTAATCCAGGAACACAGCATAGGCTGGGCTTTCTCCAGTTGGGGAGCAGCTCAGTGGAAAGGGACCTGAGGGTGGCAGACACCAAGCTCAACAGGAGTGAACACTGAGTTGCTGTGGCAAAGGAAGCCAACAGGATGCTGGATTGCATCAACAAGGGCATCACCAGCAGAGATGAAGAAGTCATTATCCCCCTCTACTCAGCGCTTGTCAAGCCACACCTGGAACACTGTGTTCAGTTTTGGCCCCTGCTACACAAAAAAGCTGTGGACAGGCTGGAGAGGGTTCAGAGAAGGGCCGCAAAGGTGATCAAAGGACTGGGAAGTCTGCCATGTGAGGAAAGGCTGAGAGAACCGGGTTTGCTCAACCTGGAGAAAAGAAGGCTTAGGGGAGACCTTATCACCATGCTCCAGAATTTAAAAGGTGGCTACAAAGAAGATGGAGACTCCCTTTTTATAAGAAGTCACATGGAAAAGATGAGGGGTAATGGGTACAAGTTACTCCTGGGGAGATTCCGATTGGACAGGAGAGGAACGTTTTTCACAATGAGAACAATCAGCCATTGGAATAATTTCCCAGGGAAGTAGTGGATTCCTCAACATTGGACACTTTTAAGATTCAGCTGGACAGAGTGCTGGCCCATCTTGTCTAGACCGTGCTTTTGCCAAGAAAGGTTGGACCAGTTGATCCTTGAGGTCCTTTCCAACCTGGTATTCTATGATTCTATGATTCTATTACAGCTAGTCAGAATATTTAAAAAAATATAAATTTTGGTCCACAAAATGGTGAGGAGGGACATTTTTCAAAGAAGTTTTCTTCCTTTTTTTAAATCAAATCTAGCGAGCGTGTGTCTACTCTCTTTTGATATCTATCAGTGTAGTAACAGAATGAGTTTCACTAAAATCACTTATCAGAATGGTAAGCCAGAGACTGACAACAAAAAACAGATAAGAGAAAGCAAAAATTAAAAGAGATACATTAAATTATTTTTCCCTTTCAGCTTCAAGATTATGATTTTGGCATTGAAGTATCAGAATATTTTAAACTTTTTGTCTTTTCTCGTATTTCTGAATGAATTACATTTCTTTAATGACCGACCCTGAAAGTTGTCATCAGCCTAAGTGCTCTATGAACTACCACTTTGTAAACAAAACCAAAATAAAATCTTTTGCCAGAAAACAAATCCTTTGTAATGGCATGTGCAGACTTTATGCTGCTAAATCATGCAGTATTTATTCTCAAAAACTCAGTGTGGTTTTTTTTCAGTAATTCCTGTAAGTCAAACATTTAATAATTTGTTTCTGAACCTGAAAACATCTAAACACATCTAGTAATGGAAAAATAACTGGAAGCATACTCATATGTGCAGCTAACACAACGAGTCTTCTCAGTTCCAAATGACATCCAAGGTTGTCTTTCTCAGAAGAGGGAACAAAACTCTGCAGTTTGTACTCTGCCACTTTTCTACCTACAAGTTGCCATAGTCCCTGAGAGCTCTGAGGGGCTACCCAGGTACCCCAGGCATCCCTCCTCTGGCACCACGCTGCCTGCAGATGCTGACACTGCTCTGGACACTACATTGTGAGACCTCCTGGCTGGCAGCAAGATGAGGCTGTAGACACTGTCAATGTTACACATGAAACTGGCTTACTGACCTATGAAAATATAGTAAAATTTCACGTACGGAATGATTGCAGAGACTAGGTGATTTAAAAGGGGGAATTACAGGTTGCTGTATTCGTTAGCAATTTGTGTCATGCTGGATACTTGATGGAGGGATGAGTCATTCACCAATTTGGTGTCCTTCTTAGAAATCCAGAGCAGTTGCTTTGAAAAACCCTTCTAGGAACACCCAAGTGCATGGTATGAATTTACAGGTGCACACATTACAACAATTCTCAAACTGTGATATATAAAAAAAAAGCCACAACAGCCTAACAGTTATAACCTCAGGATCAGGAAACACATTTGGTTCTAGTAAGGGACTAGATCTTACCTGTTACAATAAAGCTGATGTTTCTTTCGGATTTTCCCACTTTATTGGATGCCATGCAGCTGTAGATTCCAGAAGATTTGGCTTCAGCTACAATGAGAGTGCTAGCAGTCTGTGAAAGAAAGAAGAGGTTTAGCTCTTGTTGGCTCAGGAACTCGTTTAAAGCTTCCCTTCTCTTTTTCCTAAGTTACCATTGACAGTCCCATGATCCACTCTTCCCATTCGCTCAGTGCTGGGCACCACTGGGGCTATTTAAAAGAGATGTCACCACATATACATCTTTGGAAAGGGTGGGAGAATAACAGGAAACAAGCTCCTTGGGTGACCCTTGTATTATCAGAGCCATCATAACCAAAAATCTTTGAACGTGTCTTTCCGATTGATTTATCTCTTGCTGCTGATGTAATGATACGCTACAAAACATAGAATCACAGAATCATTATGGTTGGAAGAGACCTCAAAGATCATCAAGTCCAACTTTCTACCCAACGCCACCATGCCCACTAAACCATGTCTCGAAGTGCCACATCTAAACGTTTTTTGAACACCTCCAGGGATGGTGACTCCATCACCTCCCTGGGGAGCCCGTTCCAATGCCTAACGACTCTAACAGTGAAGAAGTTCTTCCTAGTATCCAACCTGAACCTCCCCTGGCACCACTTGAGACCGTTTCGTCTTGTCCTATTGCTGGTTACTGTGGAGGAGAGACCGACCCCCACCTGGCTACCCCCTCCTTTCAGGTCGTTGTAGAGAGCGATCAGGTCTCCCCTCAGCCTCCTCTTCTCCTTGCTAAACACCCCCAGCTCCCTCAGCCGCTCCTCATAAGACTTGAAGAGTGACACAACGTGGTTCACCTAAGGAGATAAGCAGCCTGTAGGAAAGCCCGACTGCAAAGGGAATAGGTGAGGCGTGCCTCACGCACTTGGATAATGCTGGGAAAAAAATATCTCTGTTTGGCACTAAATGCATTTGATTTCTCTTTCATTTTCTCATATACGTGTCAGGGGAGAAAGGATGGGGCAAAAGAGATGTTTACTCATTCTCTTTTGGACTATTTCCTCTTCTTGGACTTAGCATTGCTATTATTAAATAGTAATATGTCAGTTTTCTTTACATTGTATTCTATCACCATCTTAAGAGGTTCGGCACACTGAATATTTTCACAAAGTGATATGACTTACAAGATAAGACCTTAGAAGGCCAAGAACCACCAACACCTGATGTGCTTTTAGAAAGATAAAAACCATCACAATAAATAAGAGTTAGACCTTCATGGTGATGGAAAGCCATGCTCTAATGCCTTGGGCACTAAGTGAAAGAAGAAAGTTATACAGAAACAACCGAGGTGTCATTCTGATATGAAGCTGAGACAAGGGGCATGCACATGAAGCTTAGCAGTGGGACGTGCTCTCAGATACAACTTGGTAGCTTAATTTTCTGTCTTGCTGTCTCCGTTTTACTTCTTCTGTAAAGCATGCTTTGGCTGGAGTTACAGTCAGAGCTGGGACAGTGACGAAAGGAAATTGTGTCACCGCAGAATCCCATTGTCTGGAATTATTTGGCTTTTTAAAAAACCTTCAAAATCATTTTTGTGCAATTAAAACATTCTTTCAAGTCTGCCTGATTGCTGCAGTCCAGAGACAAGCACAAGAGGGTGAGTCAGTAATAAATAAGGACCAGTTATCTATATTTCTACATAAACACTGGCTGAATATTTGCACTGCTTCTATGTCTCCTACTCAGAGACTTCATGGCTGTCTCCAAACTCCTCGTTGAACCCCCAAATAATATAGATCCTCTCATTTCCCAAAACATTCCTTAGTAGAAAGAGTCTATTACTTTTCCTACTACTCAAGCAAACACAGTAGAGTGAAGTAATTTGATTTTGGCTTATTTGCTTTAGAAAACTGCCCTATGGGAAGTTCAAGACTACAAGTGATGCTAACAGCACCTCTACCCTGTTACGCTGTGTCAATGGTCAGCTACCAGTCTGCTAACAAACTACATCTCATTTCTAGCTAGAATTTTTCTAACCTACCTTTTTGACTCTTCCGTGAGACGAAAGAGGCCCAGTAATACCAGATAGACAGCCCTTATAAATAATCATCCTGTGTTGCTAAATTCAGTAGGCTGACCTCTACAAGTGTCTAATTATAAACCGTGGGTCTAGCCCTGTCTATATTTTGTCATTCTCTTTGAATTCCTTTCAGTTTTTAAAGATAATTTTGTAAAGTGTGGACACAGGGCTCAGCACCAGGATTCCTGCAGCCGTTTTATCAGCACTAACTCAGAAGAGAAGGGAGTCCCATAACATCTACCAGAGGGCTAACACTGCTTCTGCCATCCTAGACTTTCCACCACAAAATTAGCCTTTTTTGCTTTGGTTGGTATTACCTCATAGCAACTTTGCCCAGGTAGGAACAGTGACCTAAAATGCACAGTGAAGGAGAAGGAAGCTCTTACTCTCTGACTGCAGGAGCCCTGCCTTTATCCTACTGTACCCAGGACCAGAGCATTTCAGAGACTGAAAAATACATGTCAATTATTCCTCCCACAATTACTCCAATGGTTTGGAAAGTTTTTGCTGGTATCGAACTGTATTTTGTCCTGGCATTATCAGGTATTAGTTTTTAATGAAAAATTGTGCATCTTACCTGAGTTTTACTGCTCCAGCCTGCTATGATGTGATTATCACTTGTATTACACTGAGGATAGCGCATACGGTTACACTAAAGCTCTATGACTGCAGTTACGGACCAGAGCGCTCACAGATGATGCCATTTCTTGCATATTAAATGGCCCTAGAGAACATTCCTCGTCACTAAAATTCAGTGATTTAAACTGTTAGCTTTTCCCCAGCATTGTTTCGGCTTTGACCAACTTGCACTGTCCCAAACACTCCTCTAGTACGGGCCATGGATCACTGCCAACAGGCAACGTCTCTGCAACCAACGTCTTTTGGGGCGCAAGGGAGATAAATGTTATGAACACAGGCCTTAGTGCCAGAGAGCAGTCATTGGCGTGTTTACTTGACTATGGCAGTGAAAGCCAGAGTGTCTAGGAAAAAGCAAGACTGACTTTGCAACAGAACGGAATATTTTAGAGACGACTTGTCTCTGCATAAATCTTTTAGCTTATAAATCAGTCATAAGGATAAGATAACATCTCTTTAAACAGTTTGTGAGCCCTCCAGTGGTGCAGTCTGTGTTCTGCATTGTGGATGCCAGCCAAAACCCACCGGAGAAGTTGTGTGCACAAAACTAAGCCTGGCACATTGTCGTTTATTGAGCAATTACGGCTGTTTGAGATCACTCTGTGCTGCGTGGTTCCGATTGCGGCAAAAGGAGCACGAGAAGAAGTTCTCACAGCCTTGTGTCATCTGGCTTCACAACAGAGAGCTTCAGGACCCAGATTTGCAACCAAGTTATATACAGAATATATAAATAAAAGTCTGAATCCAGTTGCCATGATCAGACAGAACAGGGCAAGTCCTTCCTGGCATGCTCGGCATCTTGAGTGTCATCTATCCACAAACCTCGTTTACCACCAAAGCTTTGATCCTTTATTCCTCCTTTCTGCACCCATCATCTCAGCTGAAGCACTACAGGCTCATCTCAAAGCCAGGGGCTAGGGAAGTAAATCCCATACTGCTGCTGCTTCTGTCGGCAAATAAAAGAGGCGTAAAGCAGAAATCCTGAGAGATGGAAGAGGAACTTGCAGATTTGTTTGTGGTGGAAACCGATGAGGAAAAGACTGGGGGGGAAAAAAGAGAGTGCAAGGCAACTGGCATGACCGTTGTGCTTGGAGTCAGGGTGGGCTGGTCTTTCCCCTGGAGGGTCTGCTTGAATTTCTCTTGTCTCAAAGTAGCTTAGCTATAGAGGATACCCACTGCTCCAGCTGATGGCAGAGAAGCAAGAGGAGGTTTCAGAAAATGTTTGACAGCTTGACTCTTGCTTGACTCCTCGAAGACCTCTGCAGACACCAGCATAAACAGGCTCCATTCATACATTTCTGTCCTAACTTCTTGAAACAGTCCACAGATTTAAAAAGCAAAATACTGCCCTTTCAACACTGAGCAGGTTAGTGCAAGTCTGTCAAATACTGTTGATTCCCTCCTAGTTATGCTTTTAACAAGATGTATTTGTTAAAAAAAATGAAATAAATGAAAATCCACTCCCTTGGATTTCTCTTTGGCTAAAGGAATATTATTTAGGAAGACCTATACTGAAATATCAGCAGCACACCATTAGATCGCTCTATTTATGCTAAAGATGTATGATCTATATGCCTCATGTGTTGGCAAGGAGCATCAGTGCAAAGTATCTGGACAACACGCTTCACCTTCAGGACCACCACAGAAGAAACACCGAAATATCTTCAACAGTAGGACATGAATTCATGTAAGACAGCACCCTCTTCCCCCCTGGGGCCAGACAGGCGAGTCACTGCTGTTTAACAAGCAGAGCTGTGGTTTCCCTCTGCATCCCATGTTGTCCTGCTCGAACAGGCCATGAGTCCAAATGCAGCCAGTTGACTTGAGAGGAGATGATGCTACCGACGGCTATGCCACCAGCATCCCCCGCCCTCCTCCCCAGGACCAGCGCTTGACTCACGCCTTCCTCCTGCACCGAGGGAGGGGATCAATTTCAGCAGCTCAGCAGAGGCAGGTGCCAAGTTCTGTTGGTTTTGATCTCACCAAGGGCTCGGCTCAGCTGGCATCTCCCAGCAATCTGCTTAAAAGTGTTGACAGTGATTCTAGTAGCACTTAGGAAGGCCCCAGGAGAAGTGACAATGTGCTGAAAGAGAGGGAAGCTACGCTCCCACTGCTATCTTTAGCCTGGCTTCCTAGGAATATCACACTGTCTGTCCATCGGTCTGCCAGTATCCTCTCCTCCCCCACGTGCTCAGCAATTTTTGAAGCCATTGCCCAATTTCAACCAAAGTTGACAGACAGCTCAAAGCTCATAAGATCTCATGTATTTAATGAAAACTAGCTGTTGGGTAGAGGAGAAAGATCAAAATGAGTGGTGGTGTAGTGAACTAAACAGCTTTCTCTTCTGCTTTGGGTTCCAGATGACCAATCTCCCCAGATGTACTGGCCAGACAGCTGGTATGTGTAGGGACTGAGAATAGACAACACATGCTTCCTCGTCTCATCAATAATGAGGGGACATGGAAGAGAGCTAGAGGTTTAGGGCTTGGCATAGAAGACGCAGGAGAGATGGACCCACACTATTTTGCATGGTCACACCTTATCAGCCATGTCCAAGAAGGATTGACTCTTCTAACTATCTAGCACTCCACCTTTATGTTGGGCGGTCACAGTTTTTAATACTACCCACAGTCAGCACATGTCAGGTTGATCCATCATTGCCAGTCAAACCAGAAATGGACAAGAATGAGCCTAGGTTTGGTCTGGCAGAATCCTGTTACAGGGCCATTACTTTTCATTTTCCCTGAAGTCAGGTGGCTTTGTCACTCACAAGGCGTGGGATCACTAAAAACTTGTGTCAGTAAGGTATTTATGCAGCAGAAAACAAGGGTGTACAGACACATACACATAGATGGATAGATAGATATACACACAGACACACATATGAATGATAAACCACAACTGCGTGCATTGCTACTCTCTACACGCAGTTCCTGGAGGCATGCACTGTGGCACAGACCCAGCTTTCATGGTACCTGTTACTGTCAGTGGGACCCCAACATTTGGTAGCAGCAGAGGGCCGGGGCAGTCAGGGATCTTCTGTTCCAATTCAGGTTCTCAAGAATGTGGCTCTAGTAGCTTATTTCCCAAAAAACAAGGGGGTTTTGTCCCACCCCCTCCAACTTTTCCCTGTACTCAACTGCCCTCCTGTCTACTGTCTCCTTCCCTTGGATTTATCATCCTTTCTTCTTGGTCAACACTTTCTGCTCTCTCTCTCATCTGAACTCACCTTCTTAGTGCTCTTCTGTCCATTCTCCACACCCAGGATCTTTGTCTACCTCTCCTGCAGCTCCCTGTCCCTTGTACCTCTGTACAAGGAGTACTGACTCCTTTCAAAGATGGAGAGAACACATGCCCGATACGTATGCACTGATACCAGTGAATACACCAGGTCTTTGTACCTCATTATTGCAGGTCATTCACGGATTGACATTTTAATGAACACTGATGATCCTAATAATAATAATAATACTAAGTATTAGCCCTGAGTTATACATGGCAGTTAGCTTTAGCTGGGAACACTGAGAAGTGATGGTTTCTAGCAGCTGAATGACTGGAGCGTGTCTGTGACCTGTTTATATGATACGCCTAAGAATAGCGCAACTTTGTAGGAAGTCACTGAAATGTCCAACAAAATGAGAACGAAAACTTTGGGTGGGGGAATCAAGTCACTTCAAGAGTTGTCTTGTGATTAAGTATTATGGCTTATGTTACAAAGTTCTTCCATTATACCACTCGAGTTTCTCAGTGTCCTTTTAGAGAGGTTTCCACGGAAATGTTACTAAAACACTGTTGTTGTCACGGTTTCTCTGTCACCAGAAGAATAATGTAGCACAGGCTTCCTGCATTACTTGACACAGGGTTTGAGGTTTTTCTAACTTTAAAAATATACTTGTGGCTACCTTGATAACCACAGACAAACAGGCAACCCATCAACCTACCACAGCAAAAAGTTGAACTGGAGGGATTCAGATGTTGCACATACAGGAAACGGGCGGAATTGGCACAATCTCCTTAAGCAAGGTGAAAACAGCTACCTTGATTGCTAAAAGAAACCTTTCGACCATTCCTTGTTCATCTCTTCCCTTGATTACAATAGTCTCATCCTGTGGTCACCCCCAATTCTCCTTTCATGCTAATCCAAATGTGCAACTTTTTGAGTTTCTTCATCCATTTCCTACTGCTTTGTCTCCGACGTCTTTGTTGCTCCCACTGAGCTTTGACATTGTTTTTACCATGCTTGCTATGCTTGGATGTGGAAGTGGGGTAGACATTCTGTTGAATTAGCAGGACTCCATTGATGTGGAAGAGTCTCAGAGAGCTGCTGATAGCTGTCTGCAGTAGCAGAACCGCGCACAGTAGCAGACCGTCAGAGCCAGACGCTCGGGATGACGTCCCGCATTCAGTGAGCTCAGTGCTATTAACAGTCTTACAATATCCCAGCAGATGAGGAAGGGTTTTGTCTGAACTGTGTCTCTTTGAGTTTGCTCTGGGAGACCAAGAATGACTCTTGGACCACAAAGAGTGAAAAGCTATAGACTCCCACAGAAAAAAAAAAAAAAAAAAAAAATCCTGGATGCTCTAGAGCAGCTATGTGTGTGCAAATCATGCAACTCACAGCTTGGCCAGGAACCCAGGCTTAGAGAGCATTTTCTAATTACAATAGCAATCCAGCTGTGCTTGAAAAGCTACGGAAGAGCAGCAGAAATGAAGAAACCTTAAAAAAGCTGTGAAAAAGCTGAGCACGGAAATTGTTTCACTAACCTCCCCTTCCCCACAGGGACCAGGAGGAATAAAGCAATGCAAGGTAGACCTTCCTTAGTCGAACGAAACAGCATGAAGACAAGGAATACCGAGGAGAATCACTAAGTTTCACTGCAAAACTTTCCATGTAACACATGCAGAGACCATTCCTCGGTTCATTTCTGGGCACAACTTTAAAAAAAGGGCTGCTTGCCAAAGACTTCAAACAAAACCTGTAGTCCTGCCGCAAGGACCCGTTACTAGCATCTTCCTCCAGGGAGGAATTTATTTGCTGTTGACTGGAAGTTGATTTGACATTTCAGCTACTCCTCTTCCACTGTCTCCAAAACGCATGGCACACAAGGAGAATGAGATCTGGTCGTTAGACAGCTCCTTCTGCACCCTGTGAGCAGGTAGGACTTCACCCATAGCATGGCCTTCTGGAAAACAACTGGTTCTTATCATCTTTTGTTCATCATTCCCCACTTGGAATAGGCTCTGTCTTCCTGTGCTTGAAATTATTTCCGTTTCCTCCTTCAAATCCCTCCTTATATCTCATTTTTTGGTGTGCTTTCCCTATGATAGTCTCCCCTAGGAAGCTGTTTGCTCCCATCTTTGCCTTGACCTTCAAGCACGCTGAGGTGGTCAGCTAAATTGACCAAATGCCTCACTGGGATCCAGCCCATTCCCATGTGCTGGAACGGCCCCATGAACATCTGTCATGCTTTCTAAATAACACAACAGCAGGAGAAAAATGCAGTTCCAGGCCTATTCTTGGCTGCACACAAAGCCCTATTTATTCTGCGGTGTGTGAAAGGGCCCTAACATGAGAATAATTGCATTTTATACCCATTTTCGTATGCAGAAGACTGAAGGCAGCCATCAAGGAAAGGAAACCTATATCTGCAGTGCCCTTAGAATTACAAAAGACATTCCAGTGTCTATAGAAATGACAGTCTTAGAATAAGGTAGGCTTTAAAATTTATAATCTCTTCAGCCATTGCTGCCACAAACCAAATGAACCTGTGAAACTACATGCTGTGACAGTGGCATGGCATTGTGCATCTTCACCTGAGCGTCTCCATAGGAGGCTACTCAACCACACCAAATCAATCTCAAGTGCAGTTGATCTAGGGCATCCTTTAGTAAAACATCTTGATTTTGAAGCTTTTAACTGATGGACAATCCTCCATGGTCCTTGGCAAGTTCATCTCATTGGCTTTCTCTCCCACATTAGACACCAACAGACTACAGGCCTACTCGTCCTTCAGAAGTGCCTGCATCTCCCCATGGCCCATAAAGGGATGCTTGATTTGGACTAGACATTTAACATTTAGACAGTTAATGCCACTGGGATGGATCCCACCATGATGTCTCTGATTGAGATCTCTCTTAAACTTTGCTTCTGTAATCAGGATTCATTTGGCCCTTTAAATTTTTTATTGCAAGAAAAGACCTGGTCATCTAATAAGTTGGGACCACATCTCTGAATAAACTCTCCAATGAGAGTAAATTGTTTAATTCTCATAGGAAAAAACAACAGGAAATTGTGCAATGTCACAAAATGGAGCAAAGATGGCCTGGAACCTGGCTCCTGTGCTCCTGAGGTGCCCTAAGTTACTACAGACTACTATTACTACTACTACTAAGAGAGCAGATATGGTGAATCCCGTGTCACATTACCCTAGTATGACTGCACGCAGAAATAAGTACAGCTCTACATCTCAGCAGACAAATACCAAGTATGAAGGTTATTTGCATGCATGCAGCTCTTCAAATCTGAACAATATAAAAATACTGGCTTCTTCATTGTTACCTCGATAGCATCTCACAGTGCCTTTTCAACACATGCTGTCACACTGAAAGGTTATCTGCTCCTAGGATTCATACCTTGTTTTTGCCCTCTATGACAGCCGTTCGCTCAGTGATGCTCTGGATCCTGTTTCCTATGTTGCTGCCAGCTTTCAGGTCGAAAGATCCTTCGGTATAAGAGCAAAAGCCATGCCTGAAGACAACAAAAATTGAAATTTTATTGATTTGGTGACAGACTGAAACATTCAACGCATACGACAAAACAGTTCTTCTGGAAACAACAATCGGTCAGGGAAACTGCAGGTGCTGTGATGACCAGGCAAGTAGAGTTACTTTTCACTGAATCTGGAGGTTTGGAGCCTGATGACTGAATCCACTCTGGGGTCAGTGTTAACATTTAACCCACCATGGACTGGGATGTCACAATTTACAGTCTGAGCCTAATTATAGGACTGTGCAAAACCAACATCCCATTTCCAATGCTCCTGTTTTCAGCCATTGTCATGGTTCAGGCTTGGCTTCAAACATGAGTTCATATTATTTTCAGCCTTAAATTCAAGGCAAGTTACATTTGTTTCGAGATCCATTTCGTAATGCAGTGGATGCTGTTTCGCTATATGCAGGTTCTTTTTGTTAGCATGAAAAAAGATGCAAGTTTTCATTTCTGAATGTTTTCCTTAGTTCCATTTACAAAATGGCAAAATATCGATACTGAGGTTCAATGATTACAGGACACACAGTAAAAATAACCATAATCCTGCAAGTTAGCAAAACAAAGTTAAACAGAAGTATACCTAATTGCCAAAGGGACTTAAATGTTCATTTACTCTGAAACAAAAAATCAAAGTCATGTTAATGAATGGAAATCTCAGGGAAAAAATGTTTTCGTCTTATGCAACCAATTGGCTTCTAATCAGAACATTCAGGTGTGGTCATGGTAGAGCTAATTTGTTTCCCAAACCCTAATTTGGTACACATGGAAATAAACACATTGGAATGCTTCTTAAATGCTGTCTGTCCCTATTCTTCTTTGAGGATATTTAGTTTTGCTTTTCATCCAAAATTTAGTTGTTGCTTGTTCAATTCCAGCTTCATCAGCAGAGCTTAACCCTTCAGCAGGGTCAAGCTCTTTCAAATACAATATGTTCCTTTGATCTTCCATGGATTTGAAAGATAACAACTGTAGTATCTGTAATCAAATAATTCTGACATGTATATCAGTTGTTTGGAGAAACGACCTTTAAAGCCCAGCGACTGGATAACAGCATGTGATGCAATCCTGACCAAAGAATGATGTTCATTTCCCTTCAGCTAACTGTGCAGTTTGCTTAAACTTCGTGTTGTTTATAATATCAATGGTACACTAACTTTACATACTTATTTTTAATTATGCAGCTTTGCGTCAAACTGGCCAGTGTCTTAGCAGATATTACAGCTTAAAGAAATGATGATATGTAAACTAACTTGGGCTGTAATCATTAGCATAGACATATGATTGTCTGCCCAAATTTCTTAATGTGTGTTGAGAGGCTCAGTGAGTTAAAAAAGCCAAAAAACGGGAGCAGGCCATGGTTGTTCATGCATGGAGAGAGGACAGGGAGCAATAGCATGGCAAGAAAGTCCTATCTATACAACCATTTCTTCCAGACTCTGGTTTAAAAGCCAAGTTCTAATACATGATTTTTGAGGCCAAGGTGGATGAAAGACAGCTGCATTAAGACAGTTGATGCGTTCAGATGGGAAAAAAGGGTTAAAAATTATTCAGAAAGGCAGAGGCCATTTACTTTGCACTTTTAATGCTTTAAGAAGTCTGGTTCTGTAACAAGACCAGAACACAGAAGACATGATAATGTTGGTAAGCTGATAACATTTCCATGCCGTAGCAGATATCAGAACGTATTTCATGATGCCAGTACTGTAGGGGCACAAACGGGCAGTATCAAAGGCACATCCTTGGGAGCGCATATTTGGGCAATCTTTGTACGGGAAGACAAAGACCCCAAAATCTCATTTCGCCCATACTAAAAAGTAATTTTAATGTTTTTTTTTTTCCTTTCCTTAAAGAATGAATTTATGTTCCTTTGTTACAATGCTGAAAATTTGTCCTCTTTACTATAAAAGTCCTTACAGTGACACATGTTTCAGTAAAGGATAGAGAGAAGGATAATGCATATTCATAAACTGCTTGTGCATCTCTGAAAGGCAGCATCCTTTCCTGCATCTCTGGAGCCTCCAGGCTTACTTGTTATTATACTCTTCCTTATAATTCCTTGAAAAATATTATATATTTAGGTTGCAACGTCTGAGGGATGAGGGCTGTGTTATGTCTTTGTTGATGCTTAGCACAATGAGGTGCTGATTACTCATTAATACCATAATACAAACCACCGTCATAATTACAATAACATCACAATAATAAGAAAAACACATGTAAAACACGAGATGAAATATTAGCCCTGGAGGCACCTACATGAACTCTACTGACTTCACATGCCATGCTACATCCAAACTGCTGATTACAATGTTAATGCAATTATAGTAGAAAATCTAATACACTTAATAGCTGTTGTCCGGGGTTTTAATAAAAAAGGAGCCACAATCAAGCTGAGAACACATTATCCAAGAGCCCATGGTACGCAGTGGGAGATGTGAGTACCGCCGTACGCACCAGTTGGGCTCCACGGTCTGCTGGATCAGCAAACAGTGACAAATCAGCTGCGGTGTGGCTGGCAGGCAAAGTCTAGGACAAGGCTCAGGCTCATCCCTTTGGATGGAGAACCAGATGCTTTCTCTCCTCAGCTGCCAAATGCTCTCACTATAACCTCAGATCCACTAACGCAGCTTAGGGACGGCAGAGGAGCCACCTCCAGCCTCCTGGGCTGGTTACTGGGGTTAGTACTCAGTCATCCGGGCTCTTGCTCCTGCCAGCCGTGCTACGTGAAGCCACCGCTTCAGCCGGCAGCATCAGGGAACGGGGAAGGGACAAATGGGAGTAATTAAAGAGTCCTGCCTCCTAACCTGACCTTGGCTTCTAACAGCAGGCGTTTTGTAACAGAAAGAGAAAAGGCTCCGCTGTAGTCATCAAACCAAATGTTTGTGTTAAGTACAGATGCTTGGAAAGAAAGAGAGAAAAATGAAAATATAAAAATATACTCTGGCTGGGACCAAAATACACAATCATTTTCCCGTTAATTCAATTGATGTGTCGGTGCCTGTGTCCTCAGATAACATCAGCTACATATTTTTCTGCTTTGTAAAGAAATTACAAGTTACTTCAAACTATCCGCTCAGTAAAACAGCAAGGGTATCCTATTTGTAGCAAGAACTGCCTGTATTGGCAGGGAAATCCCACTCAATTTTGGATATCTGAATCTTCCTCCAGATATCTCCGGAGCGCATGAATTCCTGAAATGTTTTGTTGTGGGATGAGCCTCGTTGCTTTGCATCTTCAGGAAAGCTTACAGCAGGGTTACCGCCAGGTTAATGAAAAAGCACACAGTGTGCACAGAGATGGATAAACAAGCTGATATCTGCCAGCACATTTCTAAGCGCTTCTTACACCTGCTTCCCTGCGGATCCTTTCACCTCCCTACTTTGTGGGTACGACTGCGCACGTGTAGAGATCCTACATAATAAATGCTAACGAGGTGGGAGGTAGAAATGCGTGTTTGTAAACATTATGAAACCTCAGAGCGAAGTAATCAGGCTCTGCTGTCTTAGTCGAGCACTGGGAGAAGCAACGTAAATCGGGTTTCTCACCCCCTAAGTAGTTTTTTCCATGTGCCTGCGTGCGTGCTCGCATGCGCCTTCGCCCGTGTGCACGCACACACACACCCCCGTACGCTTCGCCCTTTGTGTCGAAAGCCTGCGGAATAGGTTGTTCCTTTGTAAAAACAGAAACGGTGACTTCTCCTGTGGGTTTCGAGAGAAGCCCAGCGCGGGGGGGAAGGAGGGGTGAGCAGGGCTGTGCTGGCGCTGGGGGCTGGGATGCGCTGCCTGCAACGCGGGGCGAGCTCTGCCGGCAGACCTGTCACCGCCCTTATTTTGGGGAATTTACACTTCTTTGGAAGGGCTGGGCGCGATTTATGCAACCAGGAGCAAATTCAGCTTTATAAAAGGTCCGGGATGTGCAGAGCTGGCACCGATGGAGACCCTAGAGAAATGGCCGGGGGGAGGGGAGCCAGCCTGCTTCTCAAGAATACATCAAGCCCTTGAGGAAGCAGAGTGTGCCATGTTTGAAGATGCAAAGATAATCACAGTGCTGGGAACCGTCTTGTGTAGCGGAGGAAGCCAAACAACAAGAGGAAAGCAGCATATGCTCCTGATTTCGCACAGGAAGCTAGCAGCACCTCCTGCCAAAGTGAGATAAGAAAACTCCCATGGCCTATTCTGGACAAGGCCGTGGTTATCAACCTTCACTTCACGCTGTCCTCACTCTGCTCCGCAGCCCGTCCCCCTTCCTAATGAGTTTCGGAGCCCTCACCTCTATTAGCATACAGCGTGCCAAGCACAATAGCATGGTATATTTATAACTATCGATGGGGAAAAGTTTCCAGGGTAAGAGTGTACTTCATGTCATCTTGATGTATTTCACTGAAATCAAACTACAAACCAGCTCCGAGCTGAAGTCCTGCCTATGAAAATTTTGTGCCCAGAGGAAAAGCGGCTTTGTTGTTACCCCAGTGATTTATAGCAGGGCACAGGAGCCACGTTAAGGGATTTGTCTACTTATTTACAGGACGGATTTGACCCTCTGTATGACAGATGGTCCTAAATGAAAGACCCAGCTTGTCCAGAGGCATCTTAATCCCCGTCCTAGAGGCAGTTCTGCAATTTGCCGTTCAATAGTACACTGACAACTACCAGCGGAAAAGCCTCCATCCCCGTATCAGTTGGAAAAATACTCATCTTCTGTCTCCTCACCTTCTCCGCTCCTCCCTCCCAAACCCTCCTGTGTGATGCCACTGCAATCTTTCCTTCACGTTACATCCCATTCAACTCTCTAAGCATTCCTCTTGGCAAAGCCACCGGCAGCCTCAGTCACACTCTTTATTTACGGAGGTAATATTTGGCAATTGCACCAGTACGAGGAGCAAGAGGAAGCCATCCCGTCACTGACGGTGATCGTTTTTGAGAGTGATTAACAGCAGGCACTATATTTTTCTCAGCATCTATCCTTTCTTTAGGGC